TAGACCCTCAATGTGATGACAGAGTGCTAATCCTGTTATCAAGATGAAAACAAAGTCAACCCTCTTGACCGGCAGAATGTATTTACTAACACAGGGATGGTCACTAAACGAGATAATGTTACCTGGCTAGACAGGTGTCCTGCCTGTTGACCATCTACCTGTAACTCTATATTAGTAGACTGACCGCTTTCAACTTTTCCTGTCACAAAAACACCGTTCACAGATAGAATTTAATTATTGAACGTATAAATATATTTACATAAACGATTGATGGTGGACATTGTTCATATCATGTGACTTGTTTGTCGACCTCAGTGAATGATAAATTTCTTAGATGACCTGATGCGACCCAAGATAAATTTTATTCCATCATGCCTGAAAGCCTTTCTTTTATTTCCTGAAGCAAATTTATGTCTGGAGACTTTGACCAGCTTTACTTGGGTACATTAAGGATAAACGCTTTACCTCACTGTATTAATAGCCTTCATAACAAAAGAGTTTTGCACATCTTTTAGGTTACATTAAGGCTATATGGTACCTTTCTGTAAAATGCATCTCTGGTCCAATGAAATTACACACTGTAAACCTTTAAATTGACTTTTACAAATGAAATTATACATTTTTGTCTCTCCGCTACAGAGTGGAAGCAAGACTTAGTACGTGTTGCTTTTCCGGTGACGGCGGTAACATTAAGTTTTTGCGTTTAAGTTAGTTTCTCTGAAAGTATAAGTGTTAGACCAACCCAGCTTAGACCATAGATGCATTGGATGAGTGTTCATCTCAATTAACCCATATATGTATCAAATGGTGGATGCAGTCTCCCTTTTATGGTCCATTGTCTTTGTCAGCATCTCCATCAACATACTGTTTTTACGTTTAAGTTATAGTTTCTCTGAATTGAGTCACGGCACGGCACTGTGTTGTATCTTTTAGCAAGATATTTACTCCACTTGTTCCAGTCTACTCAGCTGTAAATGCATCTTAGGTAATACAACTCAGCCCATAATTCATCAAATGCTGGATGCACCCTACCTTTCATGGTCCATTGACTTTGTCAGCATCTCCATCAACATTATGTTTTTGCGTTTAAGTTAGTTTCTCTGAAACTATAAGTGCTAGACCAACCAAACTTGGACCATAGATTGAATTGATGGTCAACACGGGGCACAGGTATATGCGTAAGACATGATTAATCTGAATGGCTTGTTTTAAAAATTATTTTAAAACATTTATCAGTTTTGACGATCCTTTCAATTGATGTTAACAATTGATAATGACAACCACAGCTTGACAAGATCAAACTACACATACAGTACCGTTAATAATCCCATGCCTGGTGATAAGCCCGCCTCCAATTCAACATGTTTTCATGCACAGGCCCCCTGGGGTGACCAGTAAACTACGGTAACAGTTTTACAAAAATAAAGCTTAATCAAAGTGAGTCATCATATAAATAGAGGCTGACATTTTATACTTCAGACTTAAAGTGTCCAGCTGGAATTTTGTTTTGACATTTTTAAGTCATGATGTAAATTCTAATGCTGAACATTTATACTTCTATTTATACATCTATCACTCAGGCAGTTTGAAGTCAAGGATAACTGAATTACTTTAATGCCGTACGTTTTATTGCCAAACCTACATATCATTTTGACAATTAGATATGATTATTAATCAATTGAGATCAGTTTCAGGGTTATATTCGTGGAGGTCTCTGATGTGTGATGGATGGAATACATTAAGTGACATCAGATAATGAATAAATTTCATTATATCAGTTAACAAAATCAATGGTAGATGTCGTTTATAATCATACTTTAAATTCTTTACATTTTGTTTCACCTAGAATTAAGACTTTAGAGGAAATGGAATTTTTAATACCATGGAGCCGTAATTAACCCTTTACACCACTGTAGACCATAATGGACACATCCAGATCAATGCATGATAGAGTCTACTAAAGTTACATAGGGGTGAAAGGGTTAACACATTAATAATTCTTATATACCACTTTATCACAACCTAGTTTGTAGGTTGTCAAAAAGAGGTTCACAAATTATTATCCGTGGTTATAGGGCCTTTGCAACCAGCCAATATCTTTCTCAATTCCCTGGGGAGCATACAGCCGGTGCTGCCATTTCAGTGCTCACAGCTAGCTTCTGCAATTCTAGCACTGCCCAACCACATACTCATTTACAGCTGTGTAGACTGGAAAAAACAGTAAAGTATCTTGCTCAAGGATACAACACAGTGCTGTGCCGTGATTCAAACCTGCAACCGTTCGGTCATGAGCCGGCATCTCTAATTGAGAAATGAGGGAAATCTAATTGAGGATTGAGGAATGAGGGAGATCTCCCTCATTGGAGCATACTTGCAAACTCTCCCTATTTTCGAGGGACACTCCCGATTTTGGACTCAGAAATTAAGCATTTTTAACCAGTGAATTTGCTAAACTATTTCATGTGAAAGATCAGGAAAAAGACGCCATTGAAAAGTGTTATTTTTCACAGGGTGTACATGCAGTCACCTTTTATTTATGTTTTTTTTTTAAATTCTGAGCATGTGCAATTTCCCCAATGGAAATTTCAAAAAGGTTGGCAAGTATGGTTGAAGGTTTCAGAATTTAACAGTTAATGCCTTCACCTTCGTTCCTAACAAAATTGTCTGAAGTCATGAATCTGCTGGATGTCTGGGAGAATTTTATTTAGGTAAAGGTTGATATAAATCGGTTTCCAGGCTGAATGTTGTTGGATAGTGTATGGCATTAACTATCCTGTAACGGTCATTACATTTTGGCAATTTTAATCTCAAATGATAGACAGAAAAATATCTTCCGTTAGAAAAAAGAAAACTGTTAAACTCAATCACCCCTGAAATTTCATAACAAACTATTCTAACCTTTGAATTGGGAGAGTTCAAATGTGTTTTTATGGGTGAATGAATTAATTTGTCCACATTTTTTTCATTTGTTTTAATATTTTACTGTGTTCAGCAATATACTGATTTTTGTCAAAATTATGAAATTATTCTGAATTAAAATTGTCAATATGCATTTTTCTAATTTATGCAGTAAGTTAATGGTCAAATTTATCCTGTTAATAATTGAGAATTTTATTTAATTATTTACCTGGAATTTTTAAAAACAGTTCTAGCTTTGAAACAAACACTATTAAAACCATGATTTATACATTAATGTGTCTATAGATTTATGTTGGTTTGTTGTGAGCTGATTTACGTTGGTCGGTCGTAAGTAGAAATTACTTGCTCCACCCACATTTGAGCTACTTATTTATTTGAGCTACTTATTACAAGCGTGATATGTACAACATCTGGGACGAATCCACTCAGGTTTTAACTCAGTCACCCCTCAAGACACATTTGGACTCTTCCAATTCAAAGGTTGGAATAGATCATTATGAAATTTCAGGGGTGAATGGGTTAAAAGTACATTCCTGGTAGCCTATGTAAACAGTATGCCAGGACTGGAATGTCAACACGGATCGATATACGATAAAAAACATGAAGTACACAAAAGAGAGAATTCTTTTAAATCGCTTTTTTTGTTTTTTTTTATTTAATCACTTAAGTATAACTGGGAGATCCATCTTAACACAAATTAGGACTGGATATTGGAAAGCAAACCCATATTGCATTGTATTTGTTTCACAGAATTAAACATTCTCTGAGGACGTGTTTTTGAATTCTTGTGACTATTTCATGTGTTATATTCTGATCAATAATATATTCTATTGATGTGTTTGAGCAAGTGTTGTCCCAGTTTTAATTATTTCAACACCATGGACCTACAAATTTCCAGGTGAACAAGGTGGACACACATTATTTCGCTCCAGCTAAATTTATTACCGATATTAATGACATAATTAATTTACAAAACTAATGTCCATCCTGTTCCAACATGTACTATTGTCACCCATTTGTATATGTGTATTCTTTTCACTGTATTGTGTATGAGAATAAAACAATTGTCCATTGTCAAATAAGAACCAGAAATTAAAAGAACAAAGAAAACTCTTTATTGCCTAATTACCTGTCAATTGTTTAACACCTGTTGTATAATAATTGGGTTTTTATTTTGCAGACTGGCATATTGTATATATTCTGCCATACCACAATAAGCTGGTTTACTCGTGATATTCCCTACCGTAATACTGGTATTGCTTTATTTACATTGTATCTTCATGATCACTGCAAACCTTTGTGGCTAGCATCTAAGAAAACAGCTAATGTCACAAGAGTTATCTCCCTTGCTTCTCTTATTAAACATGTGTTATATGGGTAGCAAATAGTTCTGTTATGATAATTTTACACCTGAAAAAGATTATTAACTCATTCATCCCTGAAGATACACTTGAACTCTTCTAAATCAAAGTTTGGAATAGTTTATTATGAAATTTCAGGGGTGAATGAGTTAAAATAATTAAATTTATTAAAGTCTGAAAATAAACAGTCAGTTTATGCAATTTTACCCTTTCACCACTAGTACTGTAGACCATAATGAACTCATCCAGATCAATGCAATGGTAGAGTCTACTAAAGTGACATAGGGGTGAAAGGGTTAACTTCTGATTGTCAAGTGGAATAAGCTCCCTCCTGAAACTGTATCTATACTAAGCCTGACAACAAACCCTCACAAATTAAGCCTCTATCGTCACTTTGCAAAAATAAACTATTAATACTTTCTTTCAAAAACTTTCTTCTTCCCATCTACACCTCCAATCCTCTGACATTATACAATCTTCAAATTGTTGAAGAGGATCAGTATCATGTAGAAGTAGAAGTCACTAATTTGTAATCTTTTCTTGCTTTTTATAATCAGATGATTTTGTCCTGAATTTCCTTTTTCTTTTTTTTGAAGGTGATATATACTTTCACTTTTCAGTTTTGTTTGACAGTTACATGAGAATTAAAGCAAGAATAAGTAGCATTATTGTTTTGTTCAGCACTTTAGCTGTAATTGATCTCTATGTTGTGTATTTCAGTCCTAGAGCCAGTTCTACCACCTCCACCGCAGTTTGAGAGTGACCTGTTTGCAAAACCTCAACCTCCTGTTGTCATAACACCCATTCAGACAGCCAATCAGAACACTCCCCTGGACAATCAGGATAGGCAGAATCAGGATGAAGGCCCCAGAGGTGAGAGATGACAACTGTGTGGTATACTACTAGTATTTACTTTCTTGTTATAATTATTTGTCAGAGAGGAAGAAGCTACATAATAATGTACAGCAAAATGGTAAGTTTTCGCCCAAGTGTTATTTTTCAGTTCAATTTCGGGGAGAATTCAATGTAAGGGTAATTTTGTCTCGCCTCCACAAAGAAGAGGACGCGAGACTAAGGTGTTGCTTTTCCAGTAACGGTGGCGTCAACATGAAGTTTATGCATTTAAAGTTATTTTCACTGAAAGTATATAAGTGCTAGACCAACCAAACTTGGACCGGAGCATGTCTGTTGATGCACCTTAGGTAACCATGCATGTATCAAATGCTGGCCATGATGCACCCTACCTTTCATGGTCCATTGACTTTGTCAGCATCTCAATCAACATTAAGTTTTCTTTAAAAATATAAGTGCTTTTTGAGACTAAATCAGCAGAATTTCTCCACACTATGTTTTATAGTTAAAATCTGCTCATGATTTATTGTACAGAAAGGCTTAATGTGGTTTACTGTATCAGTAAGCAAGTACAGGTTATATTATTTCCAGTACTTTTAAGAAAGTTTAAACTTGTTACGGTATATTGGTATAATATATATAGTTTCTCCCTGAAGATATATACGTTGCACTACCTGCCAACCCTAGCATAATATAGCATGTAGGAGACTTCGAGAACACAGGATTGAAACGTACAGGTTGTAAACAGAACGTACGACAGAGAGGCATGTAAACAGAACGTACGACAGAGAGGCATGTAAACAGAACGTATGACAGAGAGGCATGTACTTTTGTTAGGCTTTGGAGTGAGGAATCAGTCAGAAACGGTAACAAGAGGAAACTTGAAAGATATATATATTCCCATGCCAGTCAACAACATCGATCCTGAGGCAAAACTCTTTCACATCTCGTACTGTCAAAACCTGGAACATTCTTCCAGAGGACATTGTTTCTGCTCCAAATATCAACACTTTTGAGAACAGAATATAGATAAACTTTGGCAGAATGAAGAACTTTCGTTACTATAACTACAGGGCAAATTTAATTAACAATGAACTTTAAATTTATTTTGAACAATTATTTAATTTATTCCCCATATTGGAAATTAACTCTATCCTCATTTAAATACATGTTTTAAGTCAAGTGGTATTTTTTACCATGTCTGGGCATGGGGCCAATTGGTTAATATAATGCATCTGACATTCTGCTACCACTAGCCCTCCACCACTGGGTCGCGGGTTCGGGCAGTCGCCAGGTACTAGCCGCAGGTTACATGGTGTTTTTTCTCTGGAAACTCTGTCTTTTCTCCATCACCGAAATTTGACTCATATCCTTAAATGACCATAGCTGTTAATTAGGACCTAAAACAAAAACAAACCAAATTTTACCATTGTCCTCACCAGGCCAGCCTCGGTCAGCCAACTAAATTGAGCACTCTGTAGAAATAAATAATTATGAGGTGAGGGATGAAAAGTGTAACTGATGGTCATTCAAAGTCATCCAGTTGCTAATTAGTTCATAGGAACAGCAGACACACATATGTATGGAATTCCTTAAGTGTTGACTGGGAGGCATGGAGGTGTGTCCCTCAGGTAGGTCGGAGTAGATCTCACCTGTTTTTCCAGCACAGGTGAAAACACAATACCTTAATTAGGAGTACAGGTGTAAACATGGTAATCACATCAGACCTACAAATCTTGGGGCCTCATAAGGGGTACTTCATGTATTATTGAATGTCGGTTTTATTTAATTAAAATATTAAAGTTGTGCTAACAAAAATATCTTCTGAAGATACAGTATAAACAAGATATTAGTGTAAAATCAGGTAAAAATTGTAAAAAAAATAAAAATTTAAAACATGTTTTTTTTTTGTTCCTTATGGTACCCCGATATGTATCATAGTGTGAACTTTGTGCAGGTACCGGTTATTTGTTAATAAATGCCAGCTTGGTCAGTTAGTACATTCTCTCTCGGTAGAAATGGGGAACATCTTCCGAATGTTCAGCTCATTAAGTAAGCCAAATGTGGAACATACTCAAATATATGTTCAACAAAATTTCACAACAATTTGTAAGTCATGGAGCTTTGTACATCAAGAAAAAGGTGGGAAGTTTGTCATAAAGGAATTGGATCTCAAAGGTACAGTAATATTTTAATAATAATAATAGATATGACATACAAGTACTTGCCAACTTTTTAACATTTCCATGGGGGAGATTACTGTGTGTGTTACCCCTTAGAGACAAAATAACCCTTTAAAATGACATGTTTTGAGTTGTTCTTTCAGATGAAATAATGAGATCTTAGAATATAGAAATAGCAAATTCACTGGTTGAAATGCTTTATTAAACGGTCCAAAATGGGATATCGAGTCTCCTTCATAATAAGTATGATAGGATCAGATGGGGGAGTAATTATACAATCCCAAGGGCTTGTAATCCCTATGGCGTTTTCGTACCTCATCTAAGAGTTAATTTTAAGTACGTTTGACAAAAATTTGCAGGAGAAAGTTTTTATATGTCGTTTTGAATAAGAACAGTCATGTTTATTCAGATAAAAGGCACTACAACTACACAAGTAGTATAAACAAATAAACAAACAAGCAATTTTATAGAACAGATTATATTTAACAAAGTATTACTATGGCATTCATAAATTACATAAAACAAGGTTTAATTTGTATTTATATCACAGTAAGTAGTAATCCACAGTAAGTTAAATGATCCATAAACGTTAAAATATAACTTATTTCCAATGGGGTCCGTTAAAGAGCATGTCAGTTCCGTTAACCCTTTCACCTCTAGTTAACTTTAGTAGACTCTACCATGCTTTGATCTGGATGTGTCCATTATATGGTCTACAGTGGTGAAACGGGAAAGACGGGTATTTTGTAATTACATTTTGTCACATATATAATTCTAAGTTATCACAGATATAGTTGTAACAATAACGGACCCCCTAGGTAATACAAATTACATTGCTTCTAGTAGGTTTGTTTTTATATTGTTTAACGTCCTATTAACAGCTAAGCTTCACTTAAGGATGTGCCTCCCTGTGTGATGTGTATAAGTGTGTGTGTATGTGTGATGGAGACAGGGTATATATGTAAGTGTGTGTATATGTGTGATGGAGACAGGGTATATATGTAAGTGTGTGTGACTGTGTGATGGAGACAGGGTATACATGTTAGTGTGTGTGTATGTGTGATGGAGACAGGGTATATATGTAAGTGTGTGTATATGTGTGATGGAGACAGGGTATATATGTAAGTGTGTGTATATGTGTGATGGAGACAGGGTATATATGTTAGTGTAATAAAATAATCGTTTTTGTGATGTGATTGTACTTTGCAGTTTCCATAAAATACTTGTTTACATGAGTTTAAAAAAATAAAAAATTCTATGGAGTTTCCTAATATTGCCAGGAAGCAATTATTCCAGTCCTTCACACCATTGTAATAGAATCAAACCCTCTTTATAGATGGAAGGGTCTTAAGGTTTAAGACCCTAGGGTCTCACGTTTACCCCCTGGGGAAGGAGGAAGGGGGGGGGGCAAAATTTAATATGGTTTATAATGGGAAATGATACTTTGAATATTGCATGTTAATAACTTGATTGGAATTATAACCCGGAGTTGAGAGTTTGATACTTTGAAAATTTTGAGCCAGCCCTACCCCTCAGGGCTGTAGGGTGGGGCCCAAATGAGTCAGTGTGCTAAAATTTCTTCATTTTCCTTGTTTAGAATCAGAGGTGCTAGTTTCAAATACTTTTCAGTCTGAAATCTGTATGCTAGATATTGAATAAGGTGGTTTTATTGTTTTTTGTCACTTTGAATAATATTTCTGTTCATGTTAAAAACCAAATCAACTCTCTGTATAAATATATCAGGTGACCGTTCAGGCCCCATGGGCCTCTTGTTATACTATTGCTCTAACTAATTTAGCACTACGGCCTACCAGCAGAAAAATATGGAAGTTGCTTGGTATACCCATGTCAAGAACAATGTCAATAATGACCTTTGCAGAAATTGTTTGTCGAAAATGTTGTTGATTTTGTCTGAAAAGTAATTAACTTTTGAATGCAGAATTTGAGTGGCACAATGTCTTTTAATTGACATTGTTCTTGACATGGCTATACTTAGCAACTTTCATATTTTCTTCATTTTGAGTAAATGTCATGGGCCCATCACCTACTATATACACTGACATGGACCTGTATGAGATACCATACTAGTTCCCTCTACTGTGATACAATGGAAGTGTCCATTACATAGGGAGGAAGGGAGATAACTCCCAGAGTCATCTAAGTACTAGTCCTGTTCAGGTAATAGGATTGTGTCACCATCTCTCAGTAGAATGTCTTATAATTTTGTAGTAATATTGGTTTGAAGTAAACACAATTTTCTACCACCAAAAAAAATACAGGTTGTCACAATTTTAAAGAATTTAAATGGAAATTTAAGTCGAAAGGAGTGAATTTTGAAAAAAAACATGAAATACACACATTTTTTTCCAAATAATGTCAATAGAAATGATACTGCCATAGATTAGTATTGCATTATCAATTTAACAAATGCTGAAATTGTGTAAAATTAATTATTTATAAACGATTAAAAAATGACATGTTATAATAAAACCATATACACAGTAATTGCAGGTAAGAGTTATCTTTCTTGAAAAACTTCACAGTAGTGAAATAGTATAGGTAGCTGGTTTCCTGAAGTACAGAAAAATGGACACATGTGACTCATTAATAAAAAACAACTGAATTAAAGCGTAAATTGGTTTGAAATACTTTAATATTGAGAGAACACACTGTTCTGTCAATAATAAACATACACAATTTTTCAGTTTAAGATTAAACAATGGACAAAACCTAAACATAATGACTCATTACACAGTAATTATAGTACAATGTATTTCTGTATTTTAATATTCTGTCAAGAATGACAACTCTTTGGTAATATAATTATCAGCAATGTTTTCTATCTTTTCTTCTGTATTTTTGCCACTTTGTTAAACAAAATGGTGTGAAAACTATTGAAACAAGCCTACACATATTTAACTAGGTACATGTATATAATAAATTGAATATTTAATTATGTTTGATAACAAATTGAAAAATATGCTTAGCAGTAACATCATATTGTTAAACCAATCATTATTTTATTTCATATGTATTTAAAAACTAACATCTAATTATGTATACTATACTATATTATATTATGGAAATGGTTGAGATCCCCAGAGTATAACCATATATACAATACCATATATATATAATATATATACAATTGTGGAGTATAAAGAGAAGAACGCACATTTGCTTCCAGGTTGGCCTAGGGTCTGGCCCCACCCTTTGGGACATAGTCCCTGGGTCATATCTTTGAAACAGTTGAGATCCACACCCTAGAACTATATATACAAATGCTTGGCATAAAGAGACAAAAGTAGTCAGGGTATTAGAATAGACCCTGGGGCCTGATCGAACCCCTAGGGACCTAGTTTCTTAGTCACAGCTTGGAAACAGTTGAGATCCCCACCCTATAACCATATATACAATTGCTGAGTATAAAGAGATCCTTAACTTCGTTTTCATCCGAGTCTGGAACGTCACAAGACTGACCTGCACTGTCTGCTACATGATCACTATCATATTGTAAAGATGGCATCGGCAAGTCGTTAAGGTTATTGATAATTGGTTACTTGTTGGAGACATGCTTATCAAAGGAGCGGCTTGTCTGGAGACGGGAACATTCTCGCTACAGTGATCGACCGCGTACGTGTGGTCATGAACAGCGTTTTTAAAATCGCCCTTCGATATGACTTATCCTTGGAACCTGGCAATGAATTGGTGTACAGGATTAACACCTCGATGCTTTAGTCAAAAACTAGAAACATGAGGGTTGAAGTCTTCTTTTAACCTTAGCTGTTTTTCCTTCACAGTTGATCATATATATATATAGCTCCAAATATCATCAACACAACTTTACTTCTGTAAGCAATTAATGAAGTAATGCGTGCAAATATTTAATATTTTTTTAAAAACATGTAATGTTAATTTTAACCAACACCTTTGTATATCTAGATCTTGCTGTCACCTCGGTAGCACTTTTTCTTTACTTCAGTAGCAGTTAATGAAGTAATGTATGAAAATATTTAAAACAAACATTTGAGTTTATATTTCAGTAAACTGAGACCTCAATTTACTGACACCTTCCTATACTACTCTATCAAATCAACTTCATATATCGATACATCTTTACAGTAACTTAAGGCACCGCTATAAACTGACATATGCATCGCATCTTTTGAGTAACTTTATAGTTTAAATTTCAGTAAACTGACACCCTCCTAAACTGGAAACTACTCTATAAAAAACATTTTCATAAGTTGACACCTCCTTTGCAATAAATTTGTGATACCTCCATAAACTGATACCTTCCTACACCAACACCTCAATAAACTGATACCTTCCTACACCCAACACCTCAATAAACTGATACCTTCCTACACTGATACCACCATAAACTGATACCTTCATACACCACCACCTCCATAAACTAATACCTTCATACACCACCACCTCCATAAACTGATACCTTCCTACATACCACCTCCATAAACTGATACCTTCCTACACCACCACCTCCATAAACTGATACCTTCCTACACTGATACCACCATAAACGGATACCTTCCTACACTGATACCCCCATAAACTGATACCTTCCTACACCACCCCCTCTGTAAACTGATACCTTCCTACACCACCACCTCCATAAACTGATACCTTCCTACACTGATACCCCCATAAACTGATACTTTCATACACATACACCTTCTTACACTAACACATCCATAAACTGATACCTCCATAAACTGACACCTTTATACACTGACACATCCATATACTGGCACCTTTAACACTGACACATCCATAACCTGATGACCTTCCTACACTGACACTTTTATAAACTGACACCTCCATAAACTGATACCTTCCTTTACTGTACTATTTTATTATGAAGATGCCATATATTGACTATTTATTCTTTCAGATATTTATCAAGAGGCCTTTCTCTCTACAAAAGATGCAGAAGAAAAGAAGTTTGAGTCCCGCTTCAGTAGCTTGTTGTCTGAACTTCACCTCTCACTCCAGAACCAGTCTCCCAATGGTGTCACATGCAATACATCCTGTATGTAAAATATTTCACAACCGTGTGATACACAAGACAATTATGTTTGTAATTCATGAATCTCAGACTTAATTTTACTATTCCAATCTGCATTTTGTAAGAACTCACATTGAAAAAGTTGAAATTAGAAAAAAATGGATTTAAAAAAAATCTGGTAATCATAAATATAAACACAATTAAAAGCTAGACAAAGGTTATTATGTATAAAAATTGATTCTTCTCATTAATTTTCAAATTATTTGAAATAAGGTTTTTGGACTAAGCAGTTGTATATATTGCTGGTATTTGTTTGAATCTATATAACTTTGATTGTCTAAAAGGAATTGAATGTCAAACTTAGCTTCAAACAGCGGCATGAAGTTCTACCATGCAACAAAATAACAACATTGTCCATTACAACTGTAACATTATCAGGTGGCAACCCACCCTTGTGTCCCAATATCTACTGCAAGTGGGACACATAGCTTCATTAGGTGGACAAAAAAGCATTTTGTTACACTTGAAGTGGTAGAATAGATATCATCAACACATGCTTGTATACCGTGATGAATAATGATAATTCTGAGGAGAGTAAAAACATGTTGAGGGATATTGACTCTAGGCTTTCTGTCTTGGTTAAACATTAACTTCTCGACATTTTCTTACCCTCTTTATTAGTCTGGATGTAATACATACCACCAATGTTGACTTTCTTGAATAAAACAAACAAAATAAATTCTGGCATCTTTTGTTCCAGATGGAGGCGTTATGGTTACCTATACCAGTCGACTTCGAGAACTGTTAGTAGGCGTATCACAACGCTTGGAACTGGCTATCGACAGTAAGTTTTGGTTTGGTATACCTCTGTACTGTTAGTAGGCGTATCACAACACTTAGAACTGGCTATATACAGTAAGTTTTAGTTTGGTATACATCTGTACTGTAAGTAGGCATATCACAACACTTATAACTGGCTATCTACAGTAAGTTTTGGTTTGGTATACATCTGTACTGTAAGTAGGCGTATCACAACGCTAAGAACTGGCTATATACAGTAAGTTTGAGTTTGGTATACATCTGTACTGTAAGTAGGCGTATCACAACGCTAAGAACTGGCTATATACAGTAAGTTTGAGTTTGGTATAAATCTGTACTGTAAGTAGGCGTATAACAACGCTTGGAACTGGCTATCTACGGTAAGTTTTAGTTTGGTATACATCTGTACTGTTAGTAGGCGTATCACAATGTTTAGAACTGGCTATATACAGTAAGTTTTGGTTTGGTATACATCTGTACTGTTAGTAGGCGTATCACAACGCTTGGAACTGGCTATCTACAGTAAGTTTTAGTTTGGTATACATCTGTACTGTTAGTAGGCGTATCACACCGCTTATAACTGGCTATGTACAGTAAGTTTTAGTTTGGTATACATCTGTACTGTTAGTAGGTGTATCACAACGCTTGGAACTGGCTATATACAGTAAGTTTGAGTTTGGTATACATCTGTACTGTTAGTAGGCATATCACAATGCTAAGAACTGGCTATGTACAGTAAGTTTTAGTTTGGTATACATCTGTACTGTTAGTAGGCGTATCAGAACACTTAGAACTGGCTATATACAGTAAGTTTTGGTTTGGTATACATCTGTAATATTAGTAAGCGTATCACAACAGTTAGAACTGGCTATATACAGTAAGGTTTAGTTTGGTATACATCTGTACTGTTAGTAGGAGTATCACAACACTTAGAACTGGCTATATACAGTAAGTTTTAATTTGGTATACATCTCTACTGTTAGTAGGCGTATCACAACACTTAGAAGTGGCTATATACAGTAAGTTTTAGTTTGGAATACATCTGTACTGTAAGTAGGCATATCACAACACTTATAACTGGCTATCTACAGTAAGTTTTAGTTTGGTATACATCTCTACTGTTAGTAGGCGTATCACAACACTTAGAACTGGCTATATACAGTAAGTTTTGGTTTGGTATACATCTGTAATATTAGTAAGCGTATCACAACAGTTAGAACTGGCTATATACAGTAAGGTTTAGTTTGGTATACATCTGTACTGTTAGTATGTGTATCACAACGCTTGGAACTGGCTATATGCAGTAAGTTTGAGTTTGGTATACATCTGTACTGTTAGTATGTGTATCACAACGCTTGGAACTGGCTATATACAGTAAGTTTGAGTTTGGTATACATCTGTGCTGTTAGTAGGCATATCACAATGCTAAGAACTGGCTATTTACAGTAAGTTTTAATTTGGTATACATCTCTACTGTTAGTAGGCGGATCACAACACTTAGAACTGGCTATATACAGTAAGTTTTAATTTGGTATACATCTCTACTGTTAGTAGGCGTATCACAACGCTTGGAACTGGCTATCTACCGTAAGTTTTAGTTTGGGATACATCTGTACTGTTAGTAGGCGTATCAGAACACTTAGAACTGGCTATATACAGTAAGTTTTAGTTTGGTATACATCTGTACTGTTAGTAGGCGTATCACAATGCTAAGAACTGGCTATCGACAGTAAGTTTTGGTTTGGTATACATCTGTACTATTAGTAAGCGTATCACAACAGTTAGAACTGGCTATATACAGTAAGTTTTAGTTTGGTATACATCTGTACTGTTAGTAGGTGTATCACAACGCTTGGAACTGGCTATATACAGTAAGTTTTAGTTTGATATACATCTGTACTGTTAGTAGGTGTATCACAACGCTAAGAACTGGCTATGTACAGTAAGTTTGAGTTTGGTATACATCTGTACTGTTAGTAGGCGTATCACACCGCTTGGAACTGGCTATATACAGTAAGTTTTAGTTTGGGATACATCTGTTGTTGTCCTCTTTTGTTTTGATGTTCTCTCAGCTCCTGTTGTTGTTTTCTCTTTTGTTTTGACGTTTCCTCAGCTCCTGTTGTTGTCTTCCCTTTAGTTTTGACATCTCCTCAGCTCCTGTTGTTGTCTTTCCTTTTGTTTTGATGTTCCCTCAGCTCCTGATGTTGTCTTTCCTTTTGTTTTGATGTTCGCTCAGCTCCTGTTGTTGTCTCTCTTTTGTTTTGATGTTCCCTCAGCTCCTGTTGTTGTCTTCCCTTTAGTTTTGGCGTCTCCTTAGCTCCTGTTGTTGTCTTTCCTTTTGTTTTTACGTCTTCTCAGCTCCGTTGTTGTCTTTCCTTTTGTTTTGATGTTATCTCAGCTCCTGTTGTTGTCTTTCCTTTTGTTTTGATGTTCCCTCAGCTCCTGATGTTGTCTTTCCTTTTGTTTTGATGTTATCTCAGCTCCTGTTGTTGTCTTTCCTTTTGTTTTGATGTTAGCTCAGCTTCTGTTGTTGTCTTCCCTTTTGTTTTGATGTTCTCTCAGCTCCTGTTGTTGTCTTCCCTTTTGTTTTGATGTTCTCTCAGCTCCTGTTGTTGTCTTCCCTTTTGTTTTGATGTTCTCTCAGCTCCTGTTGTTGTCTTCCCTTTTGTTTTGATGTTCTCTCAGCTCCTGTTGTTGTCTTCCCTTTTGTTTTGATGTTCTCTCAGCTCCTGTTGTTGTCTTCCCTTTTGTTTTGATGTTCTCTCAGCTCCTGTTGTTGTCTTCCCTTTTGTTTTGATGTTCTCTCAGCTCCTGTTGTTGTCTTCCCTTTTGTTTTGATGTTCTCTCAGCTCCTGTTGTTGTCTTCCCTTTAGTTTTGATGTCTCCTTAGCTCCTGTTGTTGTCTTTCCTTTTGTTTTGACGTCTACTCAGCTCCTGTTGTTGTCTTTCCTTTTGTTTTGATTTTATCTCAGCTCCTGTTGTTGTCTTTCCTCTTGTTTTGATGTTCTCCTCAGCTCCTGTTGTTGTCTTTCCTTGTGTTTTGATGTTCCCTCAGCTCCTGTTGTTGTCTTTCCTTTTGGTTTGATGTTATCTCAGCTCCTGTTGTTGTCTTTCCTTTTGTTTTGATGTTCTCCTCAGCTCCTGTTGTTGTCTTTCCTTTTGTTTTGATGTCTCCTCAGCTCCTGTTGTTGTCTTTCCTTTTGTTTTGATGTTCCCTCAGCTCCTGTTGTTGTCTTCCCTTTTGTTTTGACGTCTCCTCAGCTCTTGTTGTTGTCTTCCCTTTAGTTTTGACGTCTCCTCAGCTCCTGTTGTTGTCTTTCCTTTTAGTTTGATGTTATCTCAGCTCCTGTTGTTGTCTTTCCTTTTGTTTTGATGTTATCTCAGCTCCTGTTGTTGTCTTTCTTTTTGTTTTGATGTCTCCTCAGCTCCTGTTGTTGTCTTTCCTTTTGTTTTGATGTTATCTCAGCTCTTGTTGTTGTCTTTACTATTGTTTTGATGTCTCCTCAGCTCCTGTTGTTGTCTTCCCTTTTGTTTTGATGTTATCTCAGCTCCTGTTGTTGTCTTTCTTTTTGTTTTGATGTTTCCTCAGCTCCTGTTGTTGTCTTCCCTTTTGTTTTGATGTGCCCTCAGCTCCTGTTGTTGTCTTTCCTTTTGTTTTGGCATCTCAGCTCCTGTTGTTGTCTTTCCTTTTGCTTTGATGTCTCCTCAGCTCCTGTTTTTGTCTTTCCTTTTGTTCTGATGTCTCCTCAGCTCCTGTTGTTGTCTTTCCTTTCGTTTTGACGTCTCCTTAGCTCCTGTTGTTGTCTTTCCTTTTGTTTTGGCATCTCAGCTCCTGTTGTTGTCTTTCCTTTTGTTTTGTCATCTCAGCTCCTGTTGTTGTCTTTCCTTTTGCTTTGATGTCTCCTCAGCTCCTGTTTTTGTCTTTCCTTTTGTTCTGATGTCTCCTCAGCTCCTGTTGTTGTCTTCCCTTTTGTTTTGATGTTTCCTCAGCTCCTGTTGTTGTCTTCCCTTTTGTTTTGATGTGCCCTCAGCTCCTGTTGTTGTCTTTCCTTTTGTTTTGGCATCTCAGCTCCTGTTGTTGTCTTTCCTTTTGTTTTGACGTCTCCTCAGCTCCTGTTGTTGTCTTTCCTTTTGTTTTGACGTCTCCTTAGCTCCTGTTGTTGTCTTTCCTTTTGTTTTGACATCTCAGCTCCTGTTGTTGTCTTTCCTTTTGTTTTGATGTCTCCTCAGCTCCTGTTTTTGTCTTTCCTTTTGTTTTGATGTCTCCTCAGCTCCTGTTGTTGTCTTTCCTTTTGTTTTAATGTTCCCTCAGCTGCTGTTGTTGTCTTTCCCTTTTGTTTTGACGTCTGCTCATATCCTGTTGTTGTCTTTCCTTTTTGTTTTGATGTTCCCTCAGCTCCTGTTGTTGTCTTCCCTTTTGTTTTGGTGTTTTTCGTGGTTACTGTTGCTTTACCTTTTGTTTTGGTGTCTCCTCAGTTCCTGTTGTTGTATTATTACCTCTTCTTTGAGTTCTGACTTGTTATAGTCTAAAAATGCGGTCTTGTTAAATCTTTTCTTGTTATTTATCGTTGGTAAGACAAATTCATTTTTGTAGAATTTGGGGAAAATACATTTAGTTTGATGGATAACCAAAAGATCTAATGACAAATCTATTTCCAGTTAATGAATAAAACTCCACATGAACATTCCATATTCTTATTGCAAGGGAGACAATTCACTATTATTTACTGATTTTCATGTCCACAGGTTTTGATAATAATCCCAATCACTCCACAGAAGGAACATCAGAAAAAGTGCGACATTTAGTGTCAAAACTCATAGAAAACAGTCTCGGGGAGTCCGTCGATCTGGTGAGTATATCCGTTATTGTCAAAACCCATAGAAAACAGTCTTGGGGAGTCCGTCGATCTGGTGAGTATATGAGTTATTGTCATAACTCATAGAAAATCACAGCCATAGTGCACCACAGATAAAATATTTCTATAATGGGGAAATTGTTTTCTTATCGCTGATTGGTTGTTAGTGCAGAGACTGACCAATCAAAATGAGTGTTACATTGGACCTTGGGCTGAATTAATTGGTGCATACTTAATGGTCAAATTATTTAATTTGTCCGTGCATCAGAAAACTAGACTGTCATGAATGGAATGCAAATTAAACGCCAGTACAACTGCATCATGGTGAACACTGTGGTGTGTTTAGATTGTAAAATATACCTACAAATAATCAAATCTAGGTAACAACATTACAGATACTTACAGGTTTATTTTCAAGCACAAAATTTCTTATTTAAATATTTAGATAACCTGTATGCCAGTGTCAATGATATGTTTACACAAACAAACAGGGGACACAACTCTTGTTTGCGTATTAAACCTCCCCACTCTTATCCTGAAATGTTGACACTTAAGATGAGAGCCTTACACTTAACAGATAGCGTGGGATAATTTGAGATCATATATCAATTTGACTTCTAGTATGAAGTAAATAGATAAGCTTTTCTAAACAGAGGTATTTCAGTCTGAATGCGTTGAGTGTTTGGAATCTTTATCGTCCAATTTATTTCTGTCTGAGTGCAGTGAGGGTTTGGAATCTTTATTGGTCCGATTTATTTCAGTCTGAATGCGTTGAGGGTTTGGAATCTTTATCGGTCCGATTTATTTCAGTCTGAATGCATTGAGGGTTTGGAATCTTTATTGGTCCGATTTATTTCAGTCTGAATGCGTTGAGGGTTTGGAATCTTTATCGGTCCAATTTATTTCAGTCTGAATGCAGTGAGGGTTTGGAATCTTTATAGGTCCGATTTATTTCAGTCTGAATGCGTTGAGGGTTTGGAATCTTTATCGGTACGATTCAAAGCTTTATCCATTGAATTATCTCTCAACTTTTTCATGGAGGAGAAATTCTAAAATGTACTTATAACACGCCATGAGACACAATGACAGTGTAGAATTAAGTTCTTTAAACCGTGTTCTGAAATAAATTGATTTAAAAAGGTAGACATGAATTTATCCTGATTTTAAAGATTAAAAGTAAGGTTGAAAGAAATTGAGGTTTTTTTCAAAACATGAATATTTAGCAAATACATGTATATATATATAACCTACCTGTCTGTGTGAGGTTACGATTGCTCAATTCCTGGGGACATATTTGACTGTTCTGATAATTGTGTCTTCTCTGTAAGGCAATGATCCAACAAATATTAAATTTCATAAATTATTTAATTTTAATTGATGAAAATAACAGGTATCACTATTGTATAGATTTTTTTTTATTAATTTCATTACATAAATATATCTGTTTTTACACTTAAAGGTTTTATTGGGAATTATCATAATTCCATATAAGGACTTAGCTATAATATCTGTTAGCTACATGTGTATAATTATAAGGAAATTATTATATTTCCATATTTCAGTCATTAGGTGTTTAAATGTAATATCTGTTAGTTGCAGGTGTTATTTGAAAATTTGGATCTTGAGATATTTGCACACGTTATCAGGGTTGGGTATTTAAATTGGATGTTTATTCATAAAATGTGTAGTTCAAAGATTTAGAAAAGAATTATTTACTGCAAACACCAGGTGTTATATATGAATCAAGAATTCTATGACCAGTAGCGATCACGATTCTGGGTCAGGTAAATGTTTGTACGTATTGGTTATCTGTGACACAGTGATAATTTAGGTACCAGGTGCCATTTCAAATGATATCTCTTAGGTGAAGTCTGAGTAAAACATCCGACATTTGACCTCTTCATTGAACGTCGAACACACAAGCCGAAAACTTTCTGGATTTTGTATATCTCGTGAGACAATCTAAGGATGTAAGTTAATTTTGTTCTCGACTGACAGATTCATGATTCTGGCTACTTGTATGTCGTGAGACAATCTAAGGATGTAAGTTAATTCTCGACTGACAGATTCATGATTCTGGCTACTAACTCCTCTGACTAAAGATCCGAGTTTGTTACAAGTATCTAAGCCTGATGATCCAAGTTTGTTACAAGTATCTAAGCCTGATGATCAGAGTTTGGTACACGTATCTAAGCCTGATGGTCAGAGTTTGGTACAAGTATCAAAGCCTGGTGATCCCAGTTTGTTACAAGTATCTAAGCCTGATGATCCAAGTTTGTTACAAGTATCTAAGCGTGATGATCAGAGTTTGTTACAAATAACTAAAAATGATGATCAGAGTTTGTTACAGGTATCTAAGCCTGATGATCAGGGTTTGTTACAAGTATCTAAGCACGATGATCAGAGTTTGTTACAACTATCTAAGCCTGATGATCAGAGCTTGTTACAAGTATCTAAGCCTGATTATCAGAGTTTGTTACAAGTATTTAAGCCTGATGATCAGAGTTTATTACAAGTATCTAAGCATGATCATCAGAGTTTGTTCCAAGTATCTAAGCCTGATGATTAGAGTTTGGTACAAGTATCTAAACCTGATGATCCGAGTTTGTTACCAGTATCTAAGCCTGATGGTCAGATCTTGGTACAAGTATCTAAGCCTGATGATCAGAGTTTGGTACAAGTATCTAAGCCTGATGGTCAGAGCTTGGTACAAGTATCTAAGCCTGATGATCAGAGTTTGGTACACGTATCTAAGCCTGATGGTCAGAGTTTGGTACAAGTATCTAAGCCTGATGATCCGAGTTTGTTACAAGTATCTAAGCCTGATGATCAGAGTTATGTACAAGTATCTAAGCCTGATGATCAGAGTTTGTTACCAGTATCTAAGCCTGATGATCAGAGTTTGTTACAAGTATCTAAGCATGATGATCAGAGTTTGTTACAAGTATCTAAGCCTGATGATCAGAGTTTGTTACAAGTATCTAAGCCTGATGATCAGAGTTTGGTACAAGTATCTAAGCCTGATGATCAGAGTTTGGTACAAGTATCTAAGCCTGATGATCAGAGTTTGGTACAAGTATCTAAGCCTGATGATCAGAGTTTGGTACAAGTATCTAAGCCTGATGATCAGAGTTTGGTACAAGTATCTAAGCCTGATGATCAGAGTTTGGTACAAGTATCTAAGCCTGATGATCAGAGTTTGGTACAAGTATCTAAGCCTGATGATCAGAGTTTGTTACAAGTATCTAAGCCTGATGATCAGAGTTTGGTACAAGTATCTAAGCCTGATGATCAGAGTTTGGTACAAGTATCTAAGCCTGATGATCAGAGTTTGTTACAAGTATCTAAGCCTGATGATCAGAGTTTGGTACAAGTATCTAAGCCAGATGATCAGAGTTTGGTACAAGTATCTAAGCCAGATGATCAGAGTTTGGTACAAGTATCTGCTTGTCTTATTTGTTACTGATGAACCGAAATCAAACTACATAATAAGTTTGGTGTCTAGGTAAATTAAGTGGCTGTAATATTGAAAAACATATGGGTTGATTGTACGATTTTGGATAGGAATTTAAATGGGTCTTGGGTATATAATGACTCTAATACACAGATTTTGATTTTATAATCCAGATATGGTCTCTTGTTTATAGCACATGACTTTATATACCTATATGATTTTATATTTCAGATTACCAGGTATGGCATCTTTACACCAAATTTGACACCAGTTATGACTCCTTGATAATATTTTTTATATCGAGTAACTGTTTACTAAACAATTTAAATCTAAAATTTTACCTTAATTTATTTGTTGACTTTAATTTTGCATTACAGACATCAGATGAAGCCGTCTCGGACTTGTCGTCGTTATCAGACGAGGATTCTGAAAGTCACAAGTCCTTTGAGGATCAACTAGCCCAGGCAGTCATCTCTAAGGTAAATGTTAAGATTGCTGCTCGCTGGGTTTAACCCTTTTACCTCTAAAGTCACTTTTGAACCTTACCAAATCAAAGAATGTGAAAGTGGGTATCACTGCATCAGTTATAATCTCAAAGGAGAGGTTTTACAGAGTGTTCTCCCTTCTTTAGAAGATCATCAGAGTTACTTCCCCTGTCAAGCAGTTGGACCCTCTCTTAGATGCTGAGTTTATATAATTTGTGTATGACAACATTGCTAAAGTGTTGGCTAGCTTTGCAATGTGAAGTTCCCAAATTCAACTCTTCCAGTTTGTTCTCTTGAAACATTAAAAATTTATACAACTATAAAGTTCAACAAAACTCATATCCACAGGAAATGTTTAGGGAATATTTCTTTTGAAAAGGACCTACCTCATTCACCCCTGAAGACACATTTAAACTCTTCCAATTCAAAGGTTGTAATAGTTCATTATGAAGTTTCAGGGGTGAATAAGTTAAATAAATATTTTACAGTAGTGACAGTAGTAATGATCTAGTTTGTCTAACGTAATGTAGTGATTTATGAGAATGTCAATCAACACAGGAAGGAAACAGATTGGTTTTACGACTTGATTGGAAATGTTAGTCCTATCATCAGAAATATTTTAGTTATTTTGACTGGAATTCTGATTTGAACAATAATCCAAATGTATTATGATATAAAAACTTTTATTTTCTAATAGGTTTTAGAAAACCACCGAAAAGAGGCGGGACTGCAGTCTCTGAGACACCATCAACAGGGTGATATTATTGAGGAACGCGGTCACAAGGACTCCGTGTTAAGTTCAAGTACTATTGATCAGGGTCACGGAGACTCTTTACAAAATTCTGACACAGATCAAGGTCAGGCTGAATCTTTACACGAGGATGAAGTGGATCACTTTAGTCCACAACATTCCTACTTAGTGCAAAATGAGAAATTAACACCAGACAATACAGAGTTCAAAGGTCACCAACAACAAGGAACAGACAATTTTATAGACTACAAAGGTGAAAGTGTCAGGAATTGTGATAAAAAATCTGAAAGTGGGTTCAGAGGTCAGGTTGGTCAGGGAAGTGAACTCCAAAATAGTATTGGACAAAGTGAGAAAGAGTTCAGAGGTCGTGAGATAGAGTTCAGAGGTCACGAAGGTCAGGAAAGTGAACTCAAAGATAGTATCGGACAAAGTGAGAGAGAGTTCAGAGGTCACAAAGGTCAAATAAGTGAAGAGTTAGAGAGCAAAGATCAACAATTTAATGGAGAGGTCAAGGATCTTGAAAGGGTGAGTGACAGCAGAGAGGTCAAAGTTCAAAATAAAAGTGCTGAGGAAGCTCTCTCTCAGATAGAGAAAGAGGATAGTTTTGATAAAGATGAAGTGATAGAACAGGAAATTGATGAAGAAATTAACTCCACCCAGGAATTTGTGAACCAAAGACAACCTGCTGATCCAATTTACGAAATACAGAAATTGAAATCGTTTTTGAGTGATATTTCACCACGACCTCATGTACGAAAAGTCGTACTAGAAGATGAACCATGTGATATTGAGGAGCCGCTAATTGAACCGGAACAGGTTTATCGCGAGGAAAGCCAGCTAGACTTTCACACAAAGTGTACGTCAATAAACTACGCCCATGAACACACTGCGTCTCTACCGGATTTCGATGTCTCTGATTTCGAGTTAAATTCCAACGAGATTGATCCAGACTTGTTATCCATGAACTTAGCTCCGATTCTTGAAGAGGATGAGGGGGAGGAGGAGGATGAAGGGGAGGAGAAGGAAGGAGAGAAGGTGACAGACTGGCGAGGGAACTGGATATTCAAAGGAAACTCCTCTGTTTCTCCGTACGCCAACATGGGCAGGAAACATGTGGGCGGGGATGTGGGACAAATTTACATGACCATTCCTGAACCGTTCCAGGAAATGGCACCGCGGGTCGGCAACAGGTAAAATTGATTAAAATGATTTCCTCCTCCTGTATGTGAATGAAATAAAATATGGTAATAAAATCAAATGTAGAAATTAAATTAAATACAGTAATTAAATAAAATATGGTAATAAAATCAAATGTAGAAATTAAATTAAATACAGTAATTAAATAAAATATGGTAATAAAATAAAATATTGTTATTGAATCAAATATGGGAATTAAATCAAATATGGGAATTAAATCTAATATGGGAATTAAATCTAAAACAGTAGTTTCTGTCTTCTGTGAGTGTCCATTTTCGTGACGTACTTCCGAAAAAAGTACAGCGTACTCAATTATCTCGATCGAAATGTGCATGTACACCGTGGTGTCGTTTCAGTATTGCGTATCGGACATTTCAATAACAGGGTAAATTATAGTAACACCTGGTAAACAACAGTACACAGGCTTGACGATGATATGTCAACACCTGGTAAACAACAGTACACAGGCTTGACGATGATATGTCAACACCTGGTAAACAACAGTACACAGGCTTGACGATGATATGTCAACACCTGGTAAACAACAGTACACAGGCTTGACGATGATATGTCAACACCTGGTAAACAACAGTACACAGGCTTGACGATGATATGTCAACACCTGGTAAACAACAGTACACAGGCTTGACGATGATATGTCAACACCTGAAACTCCTGTTGAATATATTAAGAATTACAACTTCTTAGTTTCTGTTGAATATTTAGAGTTCAATATCTTAAATTATTTTACATATGAAGAGTTCCAACTTCTTAATTTCTGTTGGATATGAAGATTTCCTATTTCTTTTTTGTTGTTGAATATGAAGAATTCAAACTTCTTAATTTCTGTTGAATATGAAGATTTCCTATTTCTTTTTTGTTGTTGAATATGAAGAATTCAAACTTCTTAATTTCTGTTGAATATGAAGATTTCCTATTTCTTTTTTGTTGTTGAATATGAAGAATTCAAACTTCTTAATTTCTGTTGAATATGAAGATTTCCTATTTCTTTTTTGTTGTTGAATATGAAGAATTCAAACTTCTTAATTTCTGTTGAATATGAAGATTTCCTATTTCTTTTTTGTTGTTGAATATGAAGAATTCCAACTTCTTCAATTCTGTTGAATATGGAGATTTCTGATTTCTTTATTATTGATGAATATAAGGAGTTTCAATATCTTAATATTTCCTTTGAATATGAAGTAAGAAATTTGGTTTCAACAATACTTTCCTAATAATATACCACAAACATTCTGTATCTGTGCATCGGCACAAACAAGAAATAAAAAACCTAGAGATAGTTAAGATGATTCAATTCTTCTGAGGAATATTTAAATAAACCTGTAACAGATTACTCGTTTAGTTTCTGAGAAAAATGTGTGCTTTTTCAGGTGTTATAGCTCAATACATCGGTCTGATCGGGGAGGGTAAGAATACTGTGCTGCGCTAATTTGGTATCAACAATTTAGAAACAACGGTCTTAGCTCAAGATTCAAATCATTCCTTTCATTGCATGTTGCTCTTTATAGTAGTGTTTTTTTTTGTTTTTTTTTATCAAAGTCGAGGGTTGTTATTTAAAATGATGAAAACAAAAACTTGTCGTTAAAAGGAAATTTTGATTTATCACTCAATCAGGTTTATCAATTACACTTAAATAGTGCAGCTGTCAACTTGATCAAACACAATTTGAGGCTTACTGATCATGAACAAATTTTAGATATCTTTCCCTCGTTTCCTTCAGGATTTGAACACATTTAACTTTCTATCTGGATTATTATATATGTTTTGTCTCTATTAACAATATCATTACAGACACATTTTTAAATGATTAAATCATGCACTGCAGTTTTTCAAAATAAGTTATGAACAGTTACTGTACAAATTCTTTAAATTTGGAGGAGATATATTTTTATATTTTTATATTATCATATAATTCCTTGAAAAGTATTGCTCAAATATCATACATATAAGCTAGAAACGCTCCTCAAATAAAGGTTATATTGATTTACAAGAAATTAGAAAAATGATCAGAAAATTAAACCGAGAGAAAAAAAAGTTTACTTATTCAAATTGAAAATGAAATAAATATCTTTTTTTTTCATGAATAAATTTCCTTACAAGGGACTTAAAGCATTATGGTATCATCCACATGATCAATCTGATTAAAATCTTCTGTTACATGGCCTCGTTAAGAGCCATAGTTCATACTGAACGGAGCCATGCAACACGATTTTAGTCAGATTGGGACATTATTTCTGTCTTTCATGTTCAGTTTTATCCCCCCTCAAAATGTTTTTTCAATTTTTAAATCAAATTATGCAGAATCTATTCATGTGTACATGTTAAATATGTCATCAATTCATGTATAACGTTTTAAGGATCACAATTTTGTTATAGTCCTATAACACACATTTCTATTGCTGACAATTAAGTTTGTCAGGAACAGTAGAGGTGGAATGAAATATAACCAACAACAGTAAAGATTTCTGTAGGATTTGATTTTAGACCACAGATTCTCTCCCTGTCGCTGTAAACAACTGAGCTAAATGGTGAATAGAAAATTAAAGGGAGGTAACTGTAAATTCTAACGGCTAGAGATCAGTGGATCAGTTATCCTTAATTGTGTCATCACCTTAATTTATATGCTCTTCAGTGTGTTATCAATTTCGGGTACTTTTTAAAAGTGCCATGAATGAAACATCCGAGTTTGAATTACAATTTCATGTGGAAATCTTTTGCACAGGAGATAATTTTGCAGTATGTTAGCATTATTCTTAAGTCTGATATTTATTGTTTATGTGTGAGTGCAATGTTATGAAAGATCTGCTCCAGCATTGATTAAACAAAAATCTTTGTGTCAATTTGACAAACAATCAACAAAATAGTTCTTTTTTTCTCACAATTAAATGTGCATGCCTTAAAGATGACAATTGGTAGTAGTTTTTTTTACCTTCACGGAAGTAGATACCTGGTAGTATAAACCTGCCTAAGGCCTTTCTGATAATGACCCTCACGGAAGTAGATACCTGGTATTATAAACCTGCCTATGGCCTTTCTGATAATGGCCTTCACATGACCTTCACAATGATTACAAAAAGCTTTTTTTCTTTTCCAAAATTTATTTTGCTGTCTTATTATCATTTCTGCTTAAATTTCCTGGGAGGATTTGGTATCAGTGGAGTAGAAGGGGAACCAACAAGGTGAAACCAATGGGGATGTAAGGGAACTAATGGAAAGGGAAGGGAACCAATGGGGATGAAAAGGAACCAATGGGGATGTAAGGGAACCAATGGAAAGGAAAGGGAACCAATGGGGATGAAAAGGAACCAATGGGGATGAAAGGGAACCAATGGAAAGAAAAGGGAACCAATGGGGATGAAAGGGGACCAATGGAAAGGGAGGTGAACCAATGGGGATGAAAGGGAACCAATGGAAAGGGAAGGGAACAAATGGGGGTGACAGGGAACCGATGGAAAGGGAAGGGAACCAATGGGGATGAAAAGGAACCAATGGGGATGAAAGGGAACCAATGGGGATGTAAGGGAACCAATGGGGCTGAAAGGGAACAAATGGAAAAGAAGGGGAACCAATGGGGATGAATGGGAACTAATGGGGATGAAAAGGAACAAATGGGGATGAAAGGGAACTAATGAGGATGGAAGGGAACCAATGGGGATGAAAGGGAACCAATGGAAAGGAAAGGGAACCAATGGGGATGAAAGGGGACCAATGTAAAGGGAGGTGAACCAATGGGGATGAAAGGGAACCAATGGAAAGGGAAGGGAACCAATGGGGGTGACAGGGAACCGATGGAAAGGGAAGGGAACCAATGGGGATGAAAAGGAACAAATGGGGATGAAAGGGAACCAATGGGGATGTAAGGGAACCAATGGGGATGAAAGGGAACTAATGGGGATGTAAGGGAACCAATGGGGATGAAAGGGAACTAATGGGGATGAAAGGGAACTAATGGGGATGAAGGGGAACCAATGGAAAGGGAAGGGAACCAATGGGGATGAAAAGGAACTAATGAGGATGAAAGGGAACTAATGGAAATGGAAGGGAACCAACGGGGATGAAAGGGAACCAATGGAAAGGGAAGGGAACCAATGGGGATGAAAGGGAACCAATGGAAAGGGAAGGGAACCAACGGGGATGAAAAGGAACTAATGGAGATGAAAGGGAACTAATGGAAATGGAAGGGAACCAATGGGGATGTAAGGGAACCAATGGGGATGAAAGGGAACTAATGGGGATGTAAGGGAACCAATGGGGATGAAAGGGAACTAATGGGGATGAAAGGGAACTAATGGGGATGAAAGGGAACTAATGGGGATGTAAGGGAACCAATGGGGATGAAAGGGAACTAATGGGGATGAAAGGGAACTAATGGGGATGAAAGGGAACTAATGGGGATGAAAGGGAACTAATGGGGATGAAAGGGAACCAATGGGGATGAAAGGGAACCAATGGGGATGAAAGGGAACTAATGGGGATGTAAGGGAACCAATGGGGATGAAAGGGAACTAATGGGGATGAAAGGGAACTAATGGGGATGAAAGGGAACTAATGGGGATGAAAGGGAACTAATGGGGATGAAAGGGAACCAATGGGGATGAAAGGGAACTAATGGGGATGAAAGGGAACTAATGGGGATGAAAGGGAACTAATGAGGATGGAAGGGAACCAATGGGGATGAAAGGGAACTAATGGGGATGAAAGGGAACTAATGGGGATGAAAGGGAACCAATGGGGATGTAAGGGAACCAATGGGGATGAAAGGAAACCAATGGGGATGTAAGGGAACCAATGGGGATGAAAGGGAACTAATGGGGATGAAAGGGAACTAATGGGGATGAAAGGGAACTAATGAGGATGGAAGGGAACCAATGGGGATGAAAGGGAACTAATGGGGATGAAAGGGAGTCAATTCAAAGTTTGTCAATCATTTTTCCCATTAAATGTTGAAATTCAAAAAATGCTCTGCTTTGATATTTAAATAATATGTATTCAACTTTCTCTGATGCTAGAAGTAAGTTAGTTTACAAATGTATGTGTGCTGTAGTGATAGAATTGCATTGATTAAACTTGTTTTGCTATACAGGACATTTTGATTTTTTAATTGGTGTCATTAGACACTTTGGTCAGCTTTACCTGTCCAATATGATTCCCTGTGATACATTATGTATTGGTCAGCTTTACCTGTCCAATCTGATTCCCTGTGATACATTATGTATTGGTCAGCTTTAACTGTCCAATCTGATTCCCTGTGGTACATGATGTATTGATCAAGTTTACCTGTCCAATCTGACACCCTGTGATACATGATGTATTGGTCAGCTTTACCTGTCCAATCTGATTCCCTATGACACATGATGTATTGGTCAGCTTTTCCTGTCCAATCTGATTCCCTGTGATACATGATGTATTGGTCAGCTTTACCTGTCCAATCTGATTCCCTGTGATACATGATGTATTGATCAAGTTTACCTGTCCAATCTAACACCCTGTGAAACATGATGTATTTGTCAAGTTTACCTGTCCAATCTGACACCCTGTGATACATGATGTTTTTGTCAAGTTTACCTGTCCAATCTGACACCCTGTGATACATGATGTATTGGTCAAGTTTACCTGTCCAATCTGACTCCCTGTGATACATTATATATTGGTCATTTTTACCTGTCTAACTTGACACCCTGTGAAACTTGACCTAACATTTAGGTAATTATATTATTACCTGTCTAATCTGACAAACTGTTGGACAGAACACATTGGTCAAATTTCAGCTTTTATTCTGCCTTCGGCTGATACTAGCTGAGGGGCTTTATCTTATTATATTTCTAATATTGTCTTTATGTAATGCCATTGTTTTGTGTTTTTTTCTGTGTCTCGATAAAGGAGCGGATTGCTCAGAAAATTTGACAACATCCTATTGTGTAGAGTGTAAGAATAACTTCCTTGCCCCATATATAATATGTAGATATAAGCTTGCCTCTATCTCCCCAAGAAGTCATTATAGTGTCAATTCTGATTCTTTGAAAAATGTTTAGTGTTTTAAATCTGTGTTTGATTTGGCAGAGAGGCTGATGAAATATTTTCTGACCTGTCTGAAAATGAGGACAATCTTAGTGATGAAGAAACATCATTCTATGCCAAAACGTCAGAGGAGATCGCTCGCATAACGAGAAAAAGCTCCTTCACACAATCGGTGCAAACGGACGATTCTGATCTTGACACTTCCAGAGAGCAATGGACATCTGACTCAGGGGTCAAAGGTCAAAGTGCAAAGGTCGACATAAGTGAGAGTAGTGCTGATGATTCTAAAGCCAAATCTAACAAGAAGCTGATTGAGGAACTGGTTCCCGCCGAAGGCGATGACCCAAAATTCGAAATTGCACCAGAAAGTGTGACAGTACCAGAAGGAGACCCAGCCAAATTTACCTGTCGTGTTGGAGGAACGGAGCCAACAGGTGAGAATTTTACAGGTGTTGAGGAATTATTCACGACATTAAGATATCCAAGTGAATGATTCCTTGGCAAAGCACCACAAAACCTTGATTTCAAAGGAAAATTCTAAGTATCTCAATATGAGAGATTACAAGGTTTTTTTCATAATTAAAAAAAAATACCTTTGGAATAAAAAATTAATAAATACATAATTAATCTCTTTTGTTATTCCTACATTGAAATAAATTGAGGGTCTTAATACGAATTGAGGGTCTTAATACAAATTGTTAGTTGAGGGTCTTAATACGAATTGAGGGTCCTAATACGAATTGTTAATTGAGGGTCTTAATACGAATTGTTAATTGAGGGTCTTAATACGAATTATGTTAATTGAGGGTCTTAATACGAATTGAGGAATCAAACCATGGTCATCCTGGTGAAAGAGAGTGTGCTTAAATATATTTTCTGTGTCAATAAGACATTGTTTTATTTTTCAGACGTCTTTTGGTACAAGGTAGAAGATGAATTAAAAGAGCTAGAGGAATCAGAACAGTTTGACGTGTCTCGTGATGGAAATCGACATCACATGACAATATATTATCCAGACAAGGATGATGCTGGTCAGTACATGGCCATCGCGGTCAATGAGAAGGGTCGATGCTGTCAGTATTTAGTGCTCAAAGTCAAAAGTAAGTTTGATCAACTATGGCCATTATTGGAAGAAACCATGTAAAAATTACCACGACTATAGACAATGTCCGTGGAAATCTGCAGAAAATTCATGGACCCGTGAACAATTGTCCAAAACTTAAAATTTGTAGAATTGTAATCATAAATTCTAGTTAAGATCTCATACTGATGGACATACTGATTGCAGTTGTTCTACGTGTGCGCAAGGTGACAATGCTAAACTTTATCTATATGACACTTTCATGACTTTTTAAGCGACATTTTGTATCAGATCAGCTGAATAAAATTAAAAGGAACACATCAAAGTAAGCATTTATCTAAGAAAATTGGAAATAGTAGTAAAATACGATCAATTAAAATATACAATCTCCCTCCCCCTTCAGAAGTTAACGGTCTTGAAAGAAGGAAACATACGACGAACGCTAATGCCTACCTTTTAGATATTCACTAGTTATAATTAACCTCCTGTGTGAAAACAATACTAATTCCAATTATTTCCATGAGAACAGTTCGATTATCAAATTTCACATTGTTGACTTCACACCTGGGAGTGTCGTATTCCGCACGTGTTTTGTTAGTAAAGCGTCTACTCGACGAAGACTACAAGTTCATAATAAAGTTTTGTGTGTTGGTGCAGTTCTACGCACGTGAAAGACCGATGACATATATGGGATTTATAGAAGATTTTTCAGTAATATGCCTTTTAGTTTGGATACACAATTTTGGAGAATGTGCCATAAGTAACAAACAGCTTGGCCGTGTTTAAAAGTCTTCAGGTGAGTGCGTTTGATTTTTGATATAGGTTGCCGATCTGGTTGCACAGTGCATTGAAGACGGTCAGTTGTAGAATGATTACCGATGTCTAATTTCAATTATTTATAAAAATTAAAAATTTGAATTTTCATCTTGCTAATTTCAGAAAATACACAAGACCTGAAAGCTCCCGAGTTCCTCAAAGGGATCCAAGACGTGGAGATCATTGAAGGTCAAGCTGTCAAGTTCAGATGCAAGGTCAAAGGTTATCCGCAGCCAAGGGTCGTCTGGTACAAAGATGGACAGCGACTGAAAAGTGACTCCAATTGTAAATTAGGTGGGAAATCGGAATCAGATTATAATCTTTATATTTATTTAATTTACTGTTTTTATTTTATTAGAATCAGTTGTATAACTCAGTATTTTATGAATTATGTAACTGATCCTGACCAAAATATCACCATGACCCCATTTAGGGACACCGTTTGGTGACATTAATAATACGGGAAATCATTTATATCCCACGTTAATTTACCTTAAGAGTTGTTCCAAAGGTTCGACACTAAATCATTGTTTTATAAGCTAAATAGATGAGTGATACAGGCCACATGAGCCTCTTGTCAAATCAACAAGGTTTATCAAATTAGGATCCTTAAATAAAAGCTGTTTAAAGTGTTTGCATACACTCTATCAGTTTTAGTTTTTTTCATTTTATCAAAAAAAAAGGTGACTGAAAAAATAAAAATGATAAATTAAATCCTAGTATATCATTTTCCAGAGTGATTAAAATCAGAAATCCAGTAATAAGGAAAGAAAATTTATTCAGATATAAAACTAATCTTCAATAGGCCAGCCACTTCTAAACCAGTTGTTCCACTATCCGGCTTGGGAGAATTCCTTTAGCCCAATCAGTAGCGCACAAGACTAGTAAACCAGAGGTCCTGGGTTCGACTCCTAGCAGAGACATTGGAAGATATAATGACTTTTTTTTACATAATTTCAGAGAAATATGGTAACCGTGACTACCTGATGACAATCGACTGTGCAACAATGAACGAGGATGCTGAATACACTGTCATGGCCAAGAACATTGCCGGAGAGGTCAAATCCAGCGCTCAGCTGATCGTGGAACCGGACCAACCAGGTAGGTTAACGAGATAAATCTGTAATATGTTGAAGAGAACACCAAGTTGAAGAGAAATTAGTCTCAGCTTTAAGGGACTTTCCCCTTTAAAGTCATATGTTATTGACATGTTTGATTATTGATCAAATTACTGTTTAAACCGTTTATTGCAAAGCGTCACCACTGAGTTTGACATATCAGGATCCCGCTAAATAGTTAGGATGAAGTTATAGAGCAGAGACATGAATCAAGGTCTCTGTATCTCTCTCCCAAGTTAAAATCCCCATAAGTGAGGGATCCCCGTACCGCTGTTTTTTTTTCTGGCATAACTTGTAATAGCTTTGATCAATCATTTCTGAACAGAAAACCCTACCTTACGGGACATACATAACAAATAATTAAGATGAAGTGAACAAATTATGGTCAACATCAGTGTTCTGAATGTATTAAAAAGACTCAGCAGGGCTAGACTACGATTCAAAATTCGTAATATATATCGTAATACACCTTGATGTTGATATTTGTACAAAGATAAAAATACAAATTTTCGTATGATTTAGCAGATTTTATCTCACTTTAGTTTTACCTTGCAGCCAAATTTTCCTAACCACAAAAGTTTCATTAATAAATTCCATTTCTTTTATTTTAACAGAGGAAACTTTTAATTCAGTAAGGACATCGTTCTCACAGTCGTCTTTTTCCTCATCATTCTCCGACGACAGGAGGACGAAACCTTCCAAAGAAGATCAACACATCTCAAACCTGAGCAGGAAAATGATGACGACAAAAGACAATGTCACGGACGTGGCTGAGGACATGCTGTCTACTGCAAATGAGGTATTTCTAGAGTTATGGCCCTTGTTTTGTAAAAAGCATTTTAATGATATTGTTAAGGACATGCTATGTACTGCAAATGAGGTATTTCTAGAGTTATGGCCCTTGTTTTGTAAAAAGCATTTTAATGATATTGTTAAGGACATGCTATGTACTGCAAATGAGGTATTTCTAGAGTTATGGCCCTTGTTTTCTAAAAAGCATTTTAATGATATTGTAAAGCTCTGTAGATATAATCAATTTCTTTTTCAAAACAAAATTTAATTTGAAGCACAATTAAAGGCCTATTTTTATTTGTTAATCGCAGTTAAGACCTCACTCGCAACTAAGCCCCTTCCCTTCTTTTTGTCAATCTTTTTATTTGCTTTGGAGGAGGGGAGGGGGGGGGCTTATTTAGTATAACGCAGATTCATTGTTTCCAATTTTTTTTACACCTCAAGGAAAATCTGAAGAAATCACCCTTAATTCTTATAATTACATCATATTTGATTTGTCAACTGAAACTTTTCACTTGTCCTGACATAAAATAAACTATCCCTTTGTACCTGGGTAGTGGAATTTGTACATCGGTGATGTAATCGCATGTTGCTAGATTTCATTTAATGTACGGAAACTGACTTTCTATCATCATTGTCATTCCACTATTAACAACTTGGTGTTGGTTGCTTGTATTATAACTCAGCATTAATAGCTTTGAAATATTTTGTTTGTTTTTTGTGTGACAAATCTTTTCTGACAAATTTAGTATCAAGTAGTAGCAAATGACAACAAACCAGTCCTTTGTTTGGTTTGAAGAAATAATACGCCTTTGTTTACTTTGTACATACATTTGATTGATCAATCCTAATCTATACCCAGAATTGTCATCCCCTACACTCACCTACTTCTCGGCCAACGGTTGAGTTAATGTCGAGATGTTAAAGTTATTATATTTTTCAAGAATGTTTTACATTATGAATTGATTAAGAAATCAAAAGATTATATTTGTATACGCCATTATTTCATACAGTTTGGTATCTATCTAATGTAGCCACCTAAACAAAACCACGTTGTTAGCACATGTTAGCCATGATGAGCGTCTGAGATTATACTAACGGAATTGTAAATGAATATGATCTGGATTTGGTTTTAAAGGACAAATAGGTCAAAGCATTAGAGTATATATGACAAAAAAAGTCACATTGTGTGAACTTATCTGATGGTAAAACGGTCAATTTTGTCCAATGCCGCCATATTGTACGGTTTGTCAACACATCACCATGCAAATGTCACATGATCAGAGGCTACACACTATAACTAGGTCACAGTGACCTAAATCTTTTCACTTCACAGAATAAGGAATGACATTTGTTTTGGGCCATAATACATCCTGTATCATTTCACTGATATGTCACATTTTCACTGAGTACAAGGTTTTCTAATTTCTGGATATCACTTGTTTAACTTGAGACACTTGTGTTGACCAGGTTGTTCAGTCAGTTAGAGAGGTAACATAGCAAAGCTGTATCCAGGGG